TACTGATCGGTGATTTTGGTGTCGACTAATTTGGTGTCGACAATGAACTTCCTAACCTCCTTAATTTTTATATAATACTTCATTTTATTAAAAAATCATGCCTTTTTGGAGGAACTCACATTTTTCGGAAACTAAGAATGATAAAACAATTTCGATTATGAATTCGCGTTGAGAAAAGTAAATTCTACAAGTACCATCTAATGGATATTAATCGATTGATGATAAGGCAGATATTTTTATTATCATCCTAAGATATATTTTTAATTTAACAAAAAAGAAATTACTTATTCATTAAATTAGGAAATTTATTTGCAGCATTAATCGTCACATTTTCTAAGATAATGACTTAGATAATGACTCATATTACATTCTTATCCTTGGTCATATAGATACATTGTAGATAATAGTATTGTACTTTTTCGAAGAAAGTAATTTTCTGTTATATAAGTACAAAAATTAATTATCCTGTATTGCATTTTTATCACAAATTTTCCAATATTTTTAAATTATCCACAACAAAATGTCTATAATTTATCGTTCTGAATTTACTTTACCCATAGCATCCTTCCACTATTGTATCTAAAATTATTTCACGAATTCAATCACGAGAAATAGAGAATTATTATACAGAGAAATAGACGAATATTTTTAATATCTTTTATTTCGTTTTTCTTAATATAATTTACAAACTTGCTTAACTCTCGTATAAATCTAAAAATATAGATGCTCGTGCATGACGTAAATTGATAACGTAGAAAATAACAGGACACTTAAACCATCTGCGAGTTCCTAATTTATCTTGCGGATGGCGCTCGTTGTACATAGTACATTGTACGTTTCCATATATCACTATACATTAGGTATGTTTAAAAAATAGTACAAAATATTTTAATTCCGCTCTTCGACTTTATCTCCCTCTCTCTTACTCGCACACACACATACACACACACGTATACTCTCTCTTTATCACTCACGCTTATACACATAGGGAATTTCATTCCTACTTGTACGTGTACCTCGAAATAGATATTACAACGTTACAATAGCTCTCGTTCCGTTCTTATTGGAATGTTCGTACGGTTTACATATGCCCGCCATCTTTCGACGTGTCGCTCCAACCGATGGACCTTCGAATAGCCCTCTAAGGGTCTCCAATCGTACAAATATATTCTCCAATACAATAACTAATAAAATATAAAAATCACGTAAAACATCCCTATTAATACATCAATAACATCAAAATAGTACAATTTTAATTTCAATTTAAAATTAAACTAATTTCGACTTGAAGTTCTAAAATTTCTATCGAAACTGGCTTCGTTTGAATAAAAAATTGAACGTCAAATTAACTTCATCGTAAACTAAAAATTTTGAAATAAAATTAATTTGAATAAAATTTAGGAATTTAGAATTAAATTAATTCCACTGAAATTTCGAAGCGTAGAATTAATTTAAAATTCAAGTCGTACAATTTTAAGCCAACATTCAGAATTTTTCTCTACTATTTTAAAAGATTGATCAATTTTTCGATGAAAAGTCCACTCGAAATTCGAAAAATCAAATACTCTCTCGATTCCGTTGGTATTCTTCCGATTTTCTTTAAGCTATGTAAGCGAATATTCACCCTTCCGTTTGTGGAATGGCATCGAATAACGAGTCCATCAAGCACGAAGGTGGAGGATCGGTGAAAGAAGAGAACGATTCCAAGGTCTGACTCGAAGGGTTCAACGCCGGGGCGGCGTAAAATGGCCGAAGAAGCGGGCTCGACGAAGAAATTCCAGGGCCGTTCCTCCTCGAAGGGAAACGCGTTTTGGACCGGTAGTAAAACCGAGGGGGATCGTCGTTGCGGTTAGACGGTGCATCCTCGGTCACAAAAGGACCCTTAATGATCCCGCCGAGCGGTAGGATAGAAGAAAAAGAAGTGTGGGACGGTCTAGGGTCAGGAATATTTTTAGAAGAGAGCAGGTACCACCTAAACCAAGTAGCTTCGACACCCTATTGCACCTGTCACCTGTGGCAACGGTGGCACAGGTTCTTCCTGTGGCCAAGAAATTTGCATTATCCCCCCTCCTTGAATTGTCGCGGACAATGGAGGCGTTTTACAGTCCTTCCCTTTCCCATCTTTGCTCGCGTGTCTCTCTTGCTCTCGACGTCGAGGATCCTCTGGGAGCGCACTCGCAGTTCCAACTTCTTTGTCAACTCCTTCCGGTGTCGTGAACTTATTCTTAGTGAAGCGTAAGATAAGGCACATTCTCCATGTTCGTTTCGTTGTTTCATCGATGACACTGTTCTATGGTTCGTGACTTTACGCAGCTTCTATTGACGGTCAGTCGGGATTGGGTCATTGAAAAAGCTTCGATACGATTGTGGGCTTGGGCAAGTGCCATTTTCACTGCAGCCTAATTAGCTTAATTTTCGGAGGGATACTCGGTGTTTGATTAGAAAATAGTTAGGTGTATAATGATATTATATATATATATATATATACCTGTGTATTATCGATATTAATATTAGTAATATTATGGATATATATCATTACTAATATAGTATATATGCTATATATGTTATATAACGTGATATATAATATATATAATAGATATGCATGTATATTAGTAATATTCTAGATATTAATAATATATGATGATATATTATTAATATGCAATTTGTTAATATTAATTATCGTTTTATATTAACCCTTTGTGGACTGATCTTGGCATATATGCAGCATGGTATTTATATTTACTAAGTTGAGCATTATGTGGAAAATTGTTATAACATTATTGTCATCATTATTGTTGATATTTTTTCCCAATTTGTTATTTCTGGTGGTTTGTTATATATTTTACATATCTTTATATAAGGGTTCGTTCGTAAAGGGTTAACGGTATGTTGATATTATATATATATTAATAATAATATGCTATAATATATATTACCAACATCAGTCAAAAATAATATATATAGATAATATTACTAAAGTGCTATACTATATTCTTACAGTAGTATAGTAACAATTATATAATCATTTTCGTTTAAAAAATCCAGAATTGCACAGTCAATTAAATAAATTTTTTGTTCAATAATTCAATTAAATTTGACGAAAAGAAAAATTGTATCAAGTATTTTGCAATGACCCAATAGCATAGAATTCTTTTACTTTTCGTTAGTATTACTTTTAATTAGTTAATTTGCAATGCAATCCAAAATTGCACAGTGAATTAAATAAATTTTTTGTTCAGTAATTCAATTAAATTTGACGAAAAGAAAAATTGTATCAAGTATTTTGCAATGACCCAATAGCATAGAATTCTTTCACTTTTCGTTCTTATTATTTTTAATTAGTTAATTTTATACGCTCGTATGTTTAATCCTGCAATATACTATGGAAATAAAGAATCGCAATGTTGACATTATAAGTAAATTGACATTATGTAGTAACATCACAACCAATTGCTATCGTTTGAACATAGTTCGAAGCAAACTTCCAACTAATTATTATTTTTCTCTTTCGTATGTTAACCCTGGGGTACTCGCGAGATTGGAAGATCGATATCATGATCGCGAATGCTATTAACAGCGGTTAAATAAATTTTTCTACGACTCCGTGAACGATGTTCACGGAATGTCTCCTTTATCTAGCATGACCGATGCAAAAGTACGAAATTTTTGTTCACTCGTAAAATAGAATTC